GTAGGGGCTGTTTACTGTAAATATTGGAAGCCAGGTGATTTTAATTTATTGAAATAAGTCAACAGAATTCAAGTTGTAGTTCAAGAAGATTATTATTGCTGTTTGAACAACCTTTAGTTTACAGTTAACTATGTAGTTTTTTTGCTGAATCGTGCACAGTAATTTATTTTAGAAGTAGTACATCAAAACAATCCTACCTGGCATTTCGTCCTGGTAAAGCAGGATCATATAAACAGCCCCTTATTCCACGAATTTTTCATGTTGCCTTTGATCTCTTGGGGCTTAACATTAGTCGTCTTTGATGACTCTTTTGGATTTTTTTTTTTCAATTGTGGTGTTACATGTCGCCTTTCTGAGATATCACACAATAATATCCCGTTTGTGCTGTCTTCTATATTCTCAATATCATTCCATGTGATAGGTCAAGCTTGACATGCCTGCGTGCGTCTTCGATTTCTATCTTTTGCTCTGAGAAATCATGTATAATTTCTGTTGTGTTCTCCTTCTCGTGTTCGGGTATGTTGAAGAACAGGTTTTTGCGCATAGACCTCGCTTGTAAGTCTATACCTTGCTGCCCATAGACTGCATAGTGGCATTATCGGGCTCCAATGAGTTGATCTTTCTCATTGCCATGTCATGTTTAGACTTTATTTCCTCGTTTTCTTTCCTTAAATCTGCGATTTCTGCTTGCGCGTATTCTGGAGCATGTTTTAGATCATTGATGTTATTTTCTATCGCATCGCGCTTTTGTATTTTGGTCATCATCGTTGAGAACATGTCGTGAATTGTCTTCATGTCTTCACTTTTGTTTTTATCTTTTTCCTCCAGTTGATTTATTGGTGTGTTAGGTTTTTGGATTTTTTGTCTGTTTATTCGACGTACATATGTTTGATGAGGTTTTGTCCCTCATCCGCAATGGTGTTGACACGTGGAAATATTTTCGACCATATAAAGGAACTTTTGCAGAACAGCATTACGATTTTCCTTTTCGCCCTTCTCGAGAATTCCTAAACAACCCATCCTGTGAAAAATTCAAGAATTTCATTGATTCAACTATTAAAGAACTCTTTTAAAGCACGGCCATTAAAGTTGTAATAGAGCACTGTAGTCAGCGCTCAATAGAGCACTGTAGTCATCGCGTAACCTTACGATAAGCATTCTTATCACATTCAAGTTTCGACGTAAGCATGATTTTTCCAATTTCCTACGTTTAGTTTTCAGCTTCTTTAAACTATTATTGAACCAAGGTCGAACAGTCATAACTTTCCTTTCGATTTCAAAGGAGCCTCGTTATCGAGAATAGAATGTAGGGTGATATCATAGCATTTTGACATATCATTAACACCTGACCAAGTTTTCTGAAATAGGTCTGAAGCGCATATATCAGCTTTAATTAAAGCATTAATGTCAATATGTTTAATTTTGCAATAGCATACTTATTTAAATTAATTATGATGTTTGGGCGAGGAATACCCAACAAACATTCGACAAAAAAAGTGATCAGACAGAGCAAACGTCGCCAAAGAAGAAGTGATCGTGACATCATTGATTGATCTAGTAATAATTAAATCAAGGGTATGACCTGATGAATGAGTTGGAACATGAACATGTTGGATAGGTCCAAAAGCATTCATTAAGTCCGCAAACTTTTTCGCATCCGCTTCGGTTGGACAATGAACGTGAAAATTAAAATCACTTGTAATCAAAAGTATGATAAAAACTCTTCAAAAAACACATTTGATGAAACCGAGTAATCTGCCGAGTAAGGAGGTCGATAGATACAAACAATCCACTCCGAGAATTTAAACGAATTAAATTCCCCACAGTCACTGGATTTTACATTCAACGATTCTTTGCACAGAATACCCGTGCCGCCACCAATTCTACCAGCTAAGCTGTCTAGGGAAAGATTTAAACAAATCCTGCAGTAGATAGTCCAGAAATGCTGACAGAGTCACATTCCTTCAACCATGTTTCAGTGATAATACATATATCAATTCCGCTATCGACCATATGATCAATGATAAATGCGATCTTGTTCCATACAGAGCGGGAATTAACACAAGCGAAGCGTAACACAGAGGTCAAGTCTTGGAAATCAACAGCAATTTGATCAGTACCTGACGATTCTGTGTCATCGGTGGTTGTTTGAACACCAGGGCTGGAGAAAGAATTCAATTTACGCGTAACATTAATTAAATTCAAAGGGTCAAAGTCAAAATAAGAATATTTAGAAGAAAAACTGAAAAAGTATAAATTTTTAAAGCGATTTGTGATCTGAACAGGAATTGCAAATTGAGCAGTTAAGTTCTCATCACAAGTTAATTCCTGCAGGTTAACCAATAAACTAGTTTCAGGTGGTAAAGCTGTTCGGATAGTAAAGCGTTGCGCCACTTTACCCCTTGGCCCATGCACACCGCATTCAGCAGGGGTGAATGTGTTTCTTCAATCTCTCCACGCGCAAGAGAATCCATACCTGTTTCTTCCATTGATTATGATTGGTCCAGTCCTTCGGTTCTTGCTCGCTTGTCATTGTCAGTTTGCTATCGTTATCCCTGATATTTTTCCTCAACGTTTCTGGTTGCCATTGGTGGACGGTCCTGCTATAGGCAAATTCTGTTTTGGGTCGAAAGCGCAGCCTGATATTTTGTTTTTCTCCACACGAGTGGAAACTTTTAAATCCAGACCCCTTGACTGGGACCTTTGGGCTTTTCGTCTATAGAGTGTTCTGAGTGGGGCTGGCTTCCAATGTATTATTATTATTATTATTTATTATTAGAAAGTTATTTAACAACGGTAACCCTTCAGCCGAGGCTGCTTTTCAAGGGGCCGTTTTAGTAATTATTTACAAATTAACTTTTCAAACTACAAACTAGTCTAGATATATACAAATACAATGAAAATAACGTCAAATACATGCATTATAGTTAAATTTTAAGAACGAATCCTTATTCTCGTTAAATTAAAAAGAGGAATTAGAGCAGATTTCAAACAACGTCATTCAATTCGTAAAAATATTTATCAAGCAAAATTTTAAAACGACCGTTTGAAAATTGCTCATTGGCCTTAGTTAAGTCATCTGGTAAATTATTCCAGGCGACAGCGCACCGGTACGAGAAACTTTTTCATAAGGTTTCTACTGGGTTTGCCTAATGCGAGCTTGCATCTATTGCTTCTCATATTGTATGTACCATTCTCACAGAATTTAAACATATTATTAATGTATTCCGGCGCAGTACGGAGGATAGCCTTGAATGTCATTAGAATTTCCCTTTTTTGCAGGGTAAATTCAATCGGAATCCATTTTAAACTTTTAAAGATATCCTTGGTTCTTATTTCATAATTAGAGCTAGTTATAATACGTGCTGCCATTTTTTGCATTTTGTAATTTTTTTTGGTGTTTGTACGATGATCTCCGTCATACCAAACGTTTGAGCAATATGTAAAATATGGAATTACTAGGGTATTGTACATACGAATTAATTCACTTTGTGAGACAAAGGCCTTTGCTCTTCTCAAGCGAGCACTTGAAAACTTCTTTCCAATCTAATTCCTGATCAATTATAACGCCTAGAACTTCCTTTTGTTTTACTTGCTGAATCAGTGAATTATTTACTAATATTTATAAATTGTTAGAGATTTGGTTTAACTTTCTTTTTGATGCTATCAATATAAATTTGGTTTTTCCGTTGTTCAGCGTTAGTTTCTTTGCCCTAAGCCATCTATTCACATTACATAAGTCTGAGTTTAATTTAAATTCAATTTCGTTTGCCAAAGATCCTGTACATGTCAAGTTCGTATCGTCGGCAAACATAGAAGCTTGAGTATGTTTAAGACAGTTTGGTAAATTGTTTATGTAAATGGAGAATATCAGTGGTCCTAAATTTGAACAATGTGGTATTCCACACTGTACTGTTTTTTGCTGGGATTTAGAGTTGTTCAGTATACTAACTTGTTTGCACTTCCTCAAGTGCGACCTAATATAAGTTTATGGGCTGTCCACTTTATTTCATATTTTTCCTAATTTTTGCAAGAGAATATAGTGGTCGACTTTGTCGAATGCTTTTTTAAAATCAAGGAAAAGGACCCCATCAATTACAGTAGTCCCTCATCCATACTTAATAGCCATTGATTGGCGTATAGTACAGAAGTGCCGTTTCAGTTGAGTGACCTGGGGGAAAGCCGGATCGTTTCAGTCGAGTGTTCACAAATTATGTTATTATTATGTGCGGGAATTACAGATATAGGTCTGTAGTTCCCACATTTAGACTTGTCTCCTTCTTTGTGGATTGGGGTTACCTTTGTAAGCTTCAGATTCTCCGGAAAAATGCCAATATCCAGTATTAGATTGAATATATGTAATATAGAGTCGTAAACAGCGTTTCCAGCCAATTTAATTAGTTTGTTTGAGATTTTGTCTAGTTCAGGCGCTTTGTTTGAGTGAATTTGTTTATTGTAGCAGCTAAAACTGTTTTTGTGATTGCTGTAAAATTAAATTCCGTGATACAAGGTCGTACATATTCTGTTGGATCAATATCTGATGGAGGGATGTTCGCTGCTAATTTTGGTCTTATTTCGACAAAGAAATTATTAAGAAATTATGTTTTCATCGCCTGTAATGATCTCACTTTCAGTTTTCAAATCATTAATTGTTGTTTTTTCTGTTTTTTATTAAGTAAATTGTTGATCAAATCCCAGGTTTCTTTGCTGTTTTTGGTGTTTTCTAAATTCGTTTTGAAATACTGAGTTTTACCACTTTTAATTCGCCCTGTTATTTGATTCCCGCATTTTTTGTATGAGTTGTAAAAAGCAGGGGAATTAAATTTTACTGTTTTCTTTTTAAGGTGATCTCCTTGAAAACTTAACTTTTTTATCTCATCCGTCATCATCGGTTGTCGGGCGCCCTCTTTTCGATTGCTATGGTGCATGCATGAATATCAGCGATTTGCAGAAATATTGCGTTCCAGTCGTGTAATGCTATGTTGGGTTCTGTGTAATCCTTAAAATGTATGAATGCTTGTCTTAAGTAATTTTGAAATTCATCGACCTTGAGTTTATTAAATTGTCTTGTTTCAATGATTCTAGGTTTTCCTTTTTGGGATTCCGACTTTTCTGCTAATATATACGAGGTTATTGGTCGCTTATGCCAAGATTGATAACGCCCAAAGCTATGGTCTTTAAGTCGCTAGTTTTACAAATTATCAAGTCTAATAATGTTTTAGTTGATTCCGTTATTCTTGTTGGTTTATCTATTATTTGTTGTAATTGATATGTAGTTAGTAATTCAAGAAGCCGTCTTTTAATGCTACTCTCGTTTTCCTTTGGTAGTAGATCTATATTAAAGCCTCCCGTTATGACAGTTTCTATGTTCTTGTTGTCAACGTTTTGGAGAAAGACTTCGAATCTATCTATATAGCCATTTTGTATTTGAGTTTGGTGGTCTATACCATGTTGAGATTAATATCGGTTTAGTGTGATGCTTTTTTATTTCTAGACTGATTGCCTCGATATTATCTAGAATTAAAGATTTTCTTTCTGAGTATGGTATAATATCACGTATATAGATAGCTACACCACCTCCATGTCTAATTCTATCATGTCTAACTAGGTCATATCCGTGTATTTCGACTTCTGATTTTTTTATTGTTTGGTTAGTTTGGTTTTATTGTTTGGTTATTGAATGTTCCCCGTTTA